ACTGCAGCTGGCAGCACTTAAAAGCATGAACCTGGCAGGGCTGAGTGTTCCTCTCATCTGTGAGGGGAAGGACAGGGCTGATGCGCCCCCTGGAATTCCAGCTTTGTCTCTAGGCCTCTTCAGACAGTGTGGATTTGTGGTTCCACTCCATTGCCAGCAGATTCCTATGTAGCCAGGCATCATCCCATGTCTGCCCCCTTCCTGTGTCCCTTCTGGAGACCTCTAGCAGAGTTTGAACTCTGTTGCCCTCACATGAGGTACAGTGAATTATCCCCAACAGTGGATTCCTTTTTCTAGGCTTCTCCTTTCAGGTTTGTTAGACAAAAATGCTGGTGGAGTCCCTGTGCTGGAACACACACAGTAGCTTGTACCTTGAAAAAATTCTGTTCTCAAAAACATCGCTTCTGATAGCTCCCACTCTAAAGAACTTGCTGAGTAATAGAAACAGGATGGACTGCACTGGAAAACGTGCAGGAAAGATGTTGATAATGTAATTTTGCTTGTTATAAAACAAATGCAGTTATGGAAGGACAAGAAAGCTCACGGATGAGAGAGAAAAAGGGAACTCGGTGGGGGAATTGTGGTGGCTATTGTGGCAAGGTCAGTGCTTCTCTGGGGAGGAGAGACTGCCAAGCTACAGACCTGCTCTGGCTCCCCATCTGAGGGACAGCTCTTCCTCATGACCTGAAATGTTACATCTTTTGTTTCTAAGCGGTGGGAGGGAGGGAAGGAACTTTGCTTTCAGGAAGGAAGCTGGCTGCAGCTCCATGAGGTGTTTCTTTGCCGTTGCAGTGCTGCCCACTTGCTCGCCCTTGGACTTCCACTGTGACAACGGGAAGTGCATCCGCAGGTCGTGGGTCTGCGATGGGGACAATGACTGCGAGGATGATTCTGATGAACAGGACTGCCGTAAGTCACCTCTCTGCAGGGAGAGGGTGGGTGCAGTGCCTTCCTGTCATGGCCGGGGAAAGTTGACCATTTTTATTACAGGAATGTAAGAGTTTATCTACTGAGTCAGATCTCTGGCTTTTTATAAGCTCTATGCTGCCCTCTGACAGCGGTGTGTACCTGGTGTCCGTAAATCCTGCTACCCTGGCACCTGGATCGCTGTTCAGCTGCCTGTCGTGGGGGAGGGGATGCTTCCCCATCCAGCTGGAGAACCATTTATGCCCTGCAGCCTTGCTAGTTAATGTCCCATGAAGCGCTTCCCTGGGCTGAGCTCTTCATGTCCTCCCCTGTTCGTGGAAACACCTAACCCCTGCCAAATCCTGCTGAACTGCCTGTCTGGCAGACTTCCTGTGGCCTCAGGTTCCACTGTCTGACTTTTCTGCTGTGCCGGGCCGTCCCTTCAAACAGAGCTCCCTGAGGAAAGGGAGGTGCTTGTAGAGATGCTGCCCATGCAGAGACCAGTTACTGTGAAAGGTGTCTGCTGCCATGTGAGGCACTATCTTCAAAAGAGCTGCCGTGGCAGACTGTGAGCACTGCTGTTGTGCTTCTACAGATTATTAAAATGGAGGGAATTTTGCCTGAAAGCTTTGAAGTTCAGCCCCCACTTTTTCCCTTTGTGTTGAGGACAAGGATTTCTTATGGTTGGCTTCCATTAGCAAAAGATGTTCAGGGATACAACTTTCCTTCTCCACAACATATCGTCAGGTCCGTACTTGGCAGCACATGCCAGAGAACCAGTGTGTTATGTAGCACTGGAGCTTTGACTTCTCTTGAACTGCACTGGTTGGTATGGCTGTTATCCAGCTGCAGTTAGGAGCAGAACTGTTGTGCTGTCTGGCTGAGATGGTTGCAGCTGCTTAATAAGCATCGCTCCACAGCCCTTGAGTTCTACGTAAGTTGTGTGCATGGTGCTCCAGAGTGGATCTGACGGAGGGACCACATCTCAATGAATGCAAAAATAAAGCTCTTGGCTGTAAAGTATTCTGTGTCCAATGCTTGCATGGAAATGAATTCACTTTTCGATCAGTATGTCCCTGACCTTTGCCTGCCCTTCTGGGCAAAAGGCTGGGAAGCGAGGTTCAGGGGTTTGACGTCTTGTGTGATGCTCTGGATTGCAGGACTAAGCTCAGTTTATCGGTCTCTATTAAGAGATTTTCATGAAAGAAAAGGTATATAGGTCTAGGTCTGTTTGGTCTTCTGTATTTCAGAAAAGTTTGGAATGCCCTCATATCTAAGACAATAGTGTGATCAAAAGATCTGGAAACTAATGAAAGGACGAAGGCGAGGTTCTGTGAATAAGAGACTCCTAGGGGGTTGTTCAGACTAGAACATAACTATAGAAAGGTTTCTGTTGGATTGATGTCCTCAGGTGCTCATTTTGCAGTCCCTTTCCTCACTGGTCTGCAGACAAGCTTCGTTAGAAGACTGGCAGAGAGGGTGGTATGAAGCTGCAAATACTGAGGTGTTCGGAAGAGGAAGTTTAATTTTTCTGTCTCCTTTTTCAATGAATGTTTCCTTGGCTTTGAAGATAGCTTTGGCATTGTTGTGAAAAGAACACGGAGCTATAATTCTACCAGCAATTATTCATTAGATAATGATAAGGACTATTAATTCCTTTAAAAAGAGGCCTGGATTGCCTTTTTTCTGTGCAGGGATCTCTTGAGCCTGGCTTGAGGCTGTGTTAGAACACCAGCACAGGGTGAGTGGCTCCATCTCACTGTTCTGGGTACTTTTTCCACCCCATGTTCTCAAGTTTTAGAGCCTGCTGTACTACTGACTTGCAGATGGAGTGGAAGAGTGACACTCAAGGAGTCTCGCAGTGGCCCTCCTGGTATTGTTAAGGGAAGGGAAATCAGCTCTCTAACATCACGGTGTCCTTGGAGGATTATGTTGCTTGATTTGTAACACGTCACAGATTTGGTGTTCTGCAAGGTACGTCTTCTTGCCTTGCCCTCACCTTGTCTCCATTGTATCCCTCCAGCTCCACGGGAGTGTGAGGAAGATGAGTTCTCATGTCAGAATGGATACTGCATCCGCAGCCTGTGGCACTGTGATGGTGACAACGACTGTGGCGACAACAGTGATGAGCAGTGTGGTGAGTAATGTGGCTCTACAAATACTGCCCTGTCAGTGATTTAAAAGGGGTTGCATAGACTCCTACCTGTGTAGCTCTAGGGTTCCCTGAGCACTTGAGACCTGTTATTCCTTGACATGCTCTTGTGAAGTCCCATGGATTCCTTTTGAATGAGCAATCTTGTTTGTGGGTGCCCTAGGAGCTTTAGGAGCATGGTGCAGTTTTTTCCTGGGTACTCTGAGAAAAGCCAAGAGTTTGTTTGCATTGCTGTCTCTGCAGATATGAGAAAGTGTTCAGAGAAGGAGTTTCGTTGCAGTGACGGTAGCTGCATAGCTGAGCACTGGTTCTGTGATGGTGACACAGACTGCAAAGATGGCTCGGATGAAGAGAATTGCCGTAAGTGCTCTCCTTGCTTTGTAATCACAGGAAATAGCCCTTTGGACCTGCTTCTCTCCTGGGGTTTGGCACATTTTCTGCAGCAGAAGTCAAAACCAAGTTAGTCCTGCCTGTACTGGCAGCTATGCAGCCTTCTGTTGCCTACCCTAGAGGGCACAAGAGAATGGTGTCTCTCTTATGTTACCTCAAAGGTGTATTTTGCCTCTGCCTGCTGCTTCTCTGGTCCTTCCCATGGCTGTGTGACCTTGAGTCCAAGCAGGAGGCTTATGCTTTACTAAATACAGCTCTATATAAAAGTGTAGGAGTTGGAGGGCAAGGGGACGGAGAGAAAACTACTCCCTTTGTTTTCCTCTTGTCTGATTTCTGCCTGAAATTTGTAGGGGCCTCTGCCCACTGACAGCATCCTCAGGGATGGGATGTCCCCAGCTGGCACACTGCAGGGGCTGCCTGCCTGACCAACCTCTCTTTGCTCAGATGCTTTATGCAGGACGTTGTCTGAAAAGGGTCAATAGGACAAGGTAGCTGGAAGCTTATGTGAAGGAGGGCAGTGGGAGCCCACAACATTTGTTTTCTCCTCCACCTTCAGAGGCCTGTAGCAAGTGGGACAGGAGTGTATTATGTCCCTTCCTAACCCTCACTGCCTCTCTCCTGGGTCTGCGAGTGCTGTCGGTGTCTGTGGAAGTTGCAGTGGTCCCTCCCCCACCCTGCTCTCAAAGGCATTTTGCAGAATTTGTTCTAGATAGCAGGAAACTTCAAAAGGCTCTGTGAGGGGGATCGGGCCGCCAGCTCCTGAAGGGCAGGGGGAGTGGATGCATGGGGGAGCTGTCTTTTATCTCTCCAGATAATGAGAGCTGGCAAGGAGCCAGGAGCTGCAAACATTTCTAAGCCAGGACAGGGCTCGAAGAGGAAGCCAGCCTCTCTCCCTCTCCTTTCCCCCTCTGCCTTTCTCATTCCCTTGCCTGTCGGTTCCCCGCAGGCCATGAATAGGCCCACGGGAAGGGAAGGGAAATGTTTCAATCTTGCCTCCTATGATAGTTAGAGGGGCAACCAGAACTGGTGCCCTTGCTTCTGTGGGCTGAAATACTTCTCCAGTCCGGACTGGCAGTTGTCTCTATAAGGCATTTTAAGTAACTCCCTCAGAAGCTCAGTTTGGCTACTTGCCTTTCTCTTATCTTCTTCCATGTTGTCACCTTTTCCTTATCTCCAGTCCTGCTTGTCATTTAACTAGGACAAGGTGGGACTACACTGTTCTTCTTTATTTTTTTCTTTCCTTTTTTTTCCTTTTTGTTTCTTTTGGGGGAGTGTGTTATCACTGAATCACACTACATGCGAATCTGAGTTACTGACCTAATTTTCTCCTCAAGCAGACCCAAACACTCCTTTCGGGCTCCTTTGGTGAGGCACACGTTAACACACATTTTAGTATCTAGCCACTGGATACTCACTGAACTAAAGCTCCTATTGCATGCCAGTAGGCTGTGCCCACTACTTCAGGTTGGAGAGGCAGGTGTAGTTCACTTCCCAGACTGTCAGTCTTTCTTGTCCCTTTTGTTTAATGGATTTATTTTCAGAGGTCCTCAGTTGGAAGACTCATATGCCTGAAACATGCAGTTCATTCTCTGGACAGTAGTATGAGAAAAGGTGTCAAATTCTGTTGTGTGGGACTCAAAAGTATTTTTCATCCCTTCCCATGTAGTATATGGTTGAACAGAGAACAGTGGACAGATCCTTCACTATAACTTTGTTAGGCATTGCCCTGGGTCATCTGGCAGTGCTCCTTACTGGTAAGGCACAATTGGCTTTAGTGACAGCTTGAGAGGAAAGATAAGGTGGAAATCCTCAAAGGTCAGGTGCAAACCTTAGGCACCTTGCTGCTTGCTTACTTTCTTTGGTCTTCAAATGCTTATTTTTGTGAAAATTTAAAAAGAATAATTCTGTACTTTACCATTGCATTCTGACATGCCTCAATCTTTAATATAGAGCTACGCCAAAGGTTATCTTTACTTTTCCATCTGTTTTTGTATCTACATCTTCAGGTTTATTAAACAATTTAAACACTTTCTGGAGGGCACTAAGACAGTGTCTCAAGTATAAGACGGAAGGTAACATTCTTGCATCCGTCATGTTGCTTTCTCATCAACCCTTCCTTCTTCATTGCTGTTTCCTTCTCTAGAACTTAATGACTCTTGAAAAGTTAGTGTTTCTAGACTAATATCCTCTGTAATTCTTAAAAAATTTTATTTATTTATTTTTTAGTGGATTGTCTACACAGATGTCTTACACACAGCTTTAACCTGTCCCTCAGTGAAGTACAAACAGCATTCAGGTTCCTCTCAGTACCACAAGTCATGCAGAAATACACAGCAGTGGCTAGTAATTTCCACCACCTTTGCAGTGAATACTTGCTTGTCCGTTATTAGACTGAGAAGGTTGCATCTAAACTGGGTTGTATCCTGTCACCTCAGGCATTTTTTCTTTGATTCCCTTTTTAGCATCAGATGTTCCAGCTGCCACCTGCAGCTTGGAGGAATTTCAGTGTGCATATGGACGCTGCATCTTGGATATCTACCACTGTGATGGCGATGATGACTGTGGGGACTGGTCTGATGAATCTGACTGCTGTAAGTTAATGCAGGATGATATACTGGTCCAAGCATCTGACTTGCAAACCTAAATGGATTTTTGCATTGACTGGAGATGGGTTGCAGTGCAGACAGCAATCTAATTGTTCACACATAAACTGGCTCTTTTTTTTTTTTAACTTAGGAAAGTGAGAATACTTGGTGGAGTGGGAGTCACTATGTAGTCCGCACACTACTGCATACAGAAGTTAAAGTAGTTTACAGTAGTGGAGTGTAAGGGTGATGCTGAGAGGCTTTGGGTATGTTACATTGGCCTGAGTTTGTTCTTTATACTCTTTGCCATCTCTGCAGCATCTCACCAACCTTGTCGCTCTGGAGAGTTCATGTGCAACAGTGGCTTGTGCATTAACGCTGGCTGGAGGTGTGATGGAGACTTTGACTGTGATGACCAATCAGATGAGAGGAACTGCAGTGAGTGCTGGGTCCTGGAAGAAACATTCAGTTTCTGTGGATGCAAAAGAATGTTTGGGACTGTTAGCTTTGGAATTGGGTTTCTACTGATCCTTCTTGCTCATCAAATGTTCTTTTTTTGGTCCCTCAGCTACATCTATGTGCACAGCTGACCAGTTCCGCTGTAAATCAGGGCGCTGTGTCCGTCTGTCCTGGCGTTGTGATGGGGAAGATGACTGCTCTGACAACAGTGATGAGGAAAACTGTGAGAACACAGGTTTGGCCTGCTGTCTTGCTGTTCATAGCTAATGTTTCCATCCTGGAGATAATAGGTAGTGAAGTCTCTTTTGGATGGCTTCACTGAGTTCAGACTAGACTTTCCAGTGTTCCCTAAAAATGGGATCTGCAGGCTACCTTATACACTTGCAAACAGGTGCAGGTCTGTGTGCTTAAACTAACTGAGGTGATGGTGTTTTCTGGTCAAATATCAGATCCCTGTATCTTCCTATCCTGTCCCTACACTATGAATTACCACATAGCTCTGAGATTATTCCATTCAGATTTGGAAACATTAATAGTGTACAAAGTTGCTACCTTGTCAAATGGACTATGTCCAACTCACACCTTGTAGATAGTTCTGGATAGCTTTCATGTTGCCTTGTGAAATTGCCAAGCAATTCTAGCAGGCAGTGGAATCAAAAGGGCATTTTATGGAAGTGAAGGATAAAGCTTTTGTTTTAGAGGTTAAGGGCGTCAGCTTCCCCTTAGATATTTGCTCAGGAGTCCCTCTTTCTCTTTCTAGTAATCATTTAGCAGATAGCCATTCTCTTATATAATAGTGGTTATGGAGAAGAGGAGGGTTTCAACAGACCCTGCTGTTATGGTAGGATGCAAGGAGTATCTAGAATCCTCTATTTTCCTTAAGTCTCTCAGGATGTCTGTATTCCTTGTTGAGGAATAGTGTGTATTGGTCCTTGCATTCATCCCAGTGAGTGGAGCCTAGCTGTACATACTGACCCTTCTGGATCAGTGGATTTTAAACAGTGGGCTTAGGGGTGACAAAAGGCATTTGTGAAACTGTACCCCTTGTTTGGGCCTGTTGAGGAGGGGAGAGTGGGTGTTCTACAAGGACAACTGAGCTCAGACACACACTTGGTAGCCATTTGAGAGCAGCTGCTCTAGATCGGTCAGCTGTCACGAGCACCAGTGTGCAGGAGGTGGTGGTGATCTTGGAAAAAGCAATTGTACTTAAAGACAAGCTGTTAACTCTGTTTCCTCATCCTGATAACAAAGTTATTTAGAGGTATTGAACAGTTGCCATCTAGAAGCCAGGTCAAACTTACAGAGCCTCTGAAATTCAACCTCTCCACCTCAAGCTGAACCCAAGGTGATTGAGTTCAGCTACAGTTACTGTAAGGTTGGTTGTGCAGTTCTGCATTAGGTCTATGGTGATAGTCAGCAGGTAAAAATTAACTCAGGGGTTCCAAGCAGAATGTGTACTGGCTCATCGAAGTGAAATAGTGTGCTGCCCCAATGTCTGTAGCAAGAGTTAAAATCCTGTGTCACCTCTTGGATTTAGAGCAGAATTATATTTTTATTGGCCATAGAGAGAAGATTCCTAGAATACTGGGAGATCAGCTGATGTAACGATCTTTGTTTGATATGACAAATGCAGCCCAGGTTTCAGAATATTTCATATAAATCACCAGTGTGCTCTGAAAAGTGAATTTATGTGATTTGGTTTTATGTTCCCAGTTGACATGTCCCTAAGTTCTTATTTGTACTTGTTAATCTCAGAACTACCCTTTTCCATGCTGCTTACAGGAAGTCTGCCAATCTAATTGTTTCTTTGCTGATAACTGCATTGTCCTGTTGTCTTCCTAGGATTATCGGAGGGTGATGATTTGGAAACCACTAATAAAGTCAGCTTCAGAGGTACAAGAAATAAGAGGCAACAGGATAGCGCAGTTATTGCTGAAGAAACGATCAGATTGGCAAAGTCCCTACAAACAGCATTACTTTACTTGCAAGAAATCTGTAGAGTCTCCCTGCCAAGAGCAGAAGTTGAAGCGTGTAGCTCATGTGTGAAATCCTGTTGCCTGAGCTCAGATTTCAAGGATGAATGTAAATCTCATTCCAAGGCAGTCACAGTGCAGTTAGGGCTGGACAAGACAGTCATTCCTAGGCAGGTTTAAGATCCATAGCCATGCTAGGGTGACATATCAGATGGTTAAAGTAAGGAACTGACTGCTCTCTTGCACATACTGAGTAAGGTTGTGGAATCTGGAACCTAAGGGAACTAAGCCAGGACCTTCCAGTCATTCTGAGAGAAACTAAATAGCTGAACTTCCTAATAGAACAACATTGAACTTGATGTGAAGGGAGAGTTTGCAGGCCTCCAAATCAGCATAAAGCTATGTGGAGCAGTAAGGAGCACAAGATGAACTGAATTCAAGGAAAGATGAAGTAATGGATTTGTGCTTGTATGTAAAGTTTGTAACAAGTCTTAGAAAATGTTCTGTATCCTTTTCTTCACCATGAGTGCTGCTCCATCAGTAAGCTGTGGTGTGCTTACTTCCCCTTTCTTCTATTGCAGGGACCCCTCAGTGTGCTCCAGACCAGTTCTTGTGTGAGAACGGACGTTGTATTGGCCAGAGGAAGTTGTGCAACGGAGCAAATGATTGTGGAGATGGCAGTGATGAGAGTCCACATCAGAACTGCCGTAAGTTCTCACAAGTTCAGTCTTAAAGATAAATGTAGACACTGTGATGTGTGGGAGTCTATCTGGTGTTGCTGAAGAATGTATGTAAGGAAGAAAGACTGGGTTGTGATAATGGGAGAGAGTTGAAGACTGAGGAAAATTACCTTGGTGGTTTTGCCAACTACATACAGCAGACAAGTAATAATGAGGAGAAGATTATGATCTCAGGTATCAAAGTTTGTCCGCAGAGATAGCGAATCTTAAAACCATGTTATTCTGAGCTTTGTTGTCCCCTTTGGTTGTGGTCTGCAGGGGATAGTTCTGACTGTGAAGAGGCAGCTTCCAGCACAGCCTGTGTCCTCCCCCTCTTGTTCAGCCTATTCTGAAAGGCAACTGCTGCCTAACAGCTGAGGGCACAAGCAGCTGCCTTGTGGTTTCAGCTCAGTTATCTTCACATGTTTCTTTCGCAGGTCCACGGACAGGGGAGGAGAACTGCAATGTCAACAATGGTGGCTGTGCTCAGAAGTGCCAGATGGTACGAGGGATGGTGCAGTGCACCTGCCACACAGGTTACAGGCTCTTGGAAGATGGCCGATCATGCCAAGGTGAGTTTTTGGAGCACTAGCCTCATCCCTGCTGCTTTGATGTGCTTGAAGCTGATGGCTATGATAGGGTGCAAATCAGAGCGTGAAAGCAGAAGCAAGATATTGCTGTGATTGCCTGGTGTGTTGATGATCTCATGGTAACTTTTTCTCTGTTTGTTCACATGCAGATGTGAATGAATGTGCTGAGGAAGGTTACTGCAGCCAAGGCTGTACCAACAGTGAAGGAGGCTTCCAGTGCTGGTGTGAGCAAGGCTACGAGCTGCGACCTGACAAGCGAAGCTGCAAAGCTCTAGGTAAAGAGGATTTCAGCCTTATTCTGATGTGTGTGCATTGGTCCACTTCTCATAATTTTGCTGCTGATGTTCCTTTGGCAGCATTATGCTGTTCACAAAGCCAATATGTAAGGAAAAGGAAGTACCTGGATTTGTATTAGATGTGCCTGGGTTGTTGGTGAATGTCTGTGAAAGTTCTGTGTGATTTTGACCATGGAGAGATACTTCACTGTTTCCTGATCACCAGTCCTGAATGCTGTGAGTGACTGCTGTATGGACATCTGCTGGTTTTTAAGGGCATCTGTACACTTGTTTAACTTTATTGCTCAGCTCCTTTAATGTAGGAGCTGAGGAATTAGAAATTCCATCTAAAGAATTAAGATTTCATTAGTAATTCCACTAATGAAATCCATAAAGGATGTTGATATTGTTTTGGGCTTTTTGTATGTGTGGGGGGGTTTTTGTTGTTGTTGTTGTTGTTATTTTGTTTTTTTTTTTCTCTCCAGTGGGACTACCTTCTGAGTTTATATCCGGCTGAGGCAGATTTTAACTGTGTCTTGTCTGTGGTAGATGATGTGGTAGAGCATGTGTGTTTGTATGGCTAGGAGATGGATATAGGAAAAGGAAACTAGTCCAGCTGCCAAGTGGCTGCCTAGTGGTATGGCTTCAGAGGCTGAGGTGAAGGTGGGTTTAGGTGGGAGCTGACATGATCACTTCCTGCTTAGTGAATCTTTGCCAAAAAGATTTACAACTGCTCATCTTGGAGTTAGGACTGTGTATAGAGGATGTGAAAACAGCTCTCTGTGTTTTGCACTTGGGAGTTGATTTCTTGCTGCTGGTACTGCAGAATTATGTTCTGGGACTTGATGCAGAGGGAATGGTAGGCAGGACCCTGTCAAAGTACTCTAATGCTATCTTCTCGTGTATTTTCAGGGCCAGAACCAGTGCTACTTTTTGCCAATCGAATTGATATCAGACAAGTGTTGCCTCATCGCTCAGAGTATACGCTGCTCCTGAACAACCTGGAAAATGCCATTGCCCTTGATTTCCATCACAGCAAAGAGCTGGTGTTTTGGTCCGATGTCACTCTCGATCGCATCATGAGGGCCAATCTGAATGGTAGCAATGTGGAAGAGGTGGTTTCCACAGGGCTGGAGAGTCCAGGTGCGTCACCATGAGAAAGGCAAAAGCCTGAGGACTGACCATGGTGTGAGAATAGGGGTGGGTGAGTGGAGAAAAGTGGGTACTCAGCATTAAAAATGGAGCGCATCTTCGTGAGCAAGGGAATGGGTTGGATGGAATGGATGTGAGATCAGTGTCCCTGTGGAGTTAATCTTGACTGATGGGGGAAGAGTCAGGAGGACTGAATTGGGCCTCTTATGAGGCTGAGAGGGAAAGGAAGCTATTTTTCTGAGCAGATCCTGCTCCTGGTTTCATTTTGTGCTCAATTCTCCCCTGGAGATAGGTGGACTTGCTATTGACTGGATCCATGACAAATTATACTGGACAGACTCTGGGACATCTCGAATTGAAGTAGCCAACTTGGATGGCACTCACAGGAAAGTGCTTTTGTGGCAGAACCTGGAGAAGCCTCGAGCAATTGCCCTACATCCTATGGAGGGGTGAGTAAAAAGTTAGGACTCCAGTGAGCCATCTGTGCAAGTGCTTCCCTATGAACATTGAAAACCCCATCCTTGGTCACAAAGGCTGCCCCTGGGCTCAAACTTTCCTTTGATGCTGCCTATTTGGGGAACCTGACAATGTGGGAGACCTTCAGAGCCTTAATCCTGTTCTGGGCTCTTCAGGTTTCACCAGCCTCAAAGTATTGGCTGTCTGTTCTTCCATGGCTCTGACTCAGTTTCATGCTCGAGGTCACAAGACTGATAGTGTCTCGCCCTGACAGAGAGTGAGTTTTCTAGCCTGTCTCTCCCTGCCTCTTCCAGCACTATCTACTGGACCGACTGGGGCAACACTCCCCGCATTGAGTATTCCAACATGGATGGCTCTAATCGGCGCATCATTGCGGATACGCACCTCTTCTGGCCCAATGGACTGACCATTGACTATGCAGGACATCGAATGTACTGGGTGGATGCCAAACATCATGTCATTGAGAGAGCTGACCTCGATGGGAGCAATAGGAAGGCTGTTATTAGCCAAGGTAAGTAACAGGGCTACATACAGGGAATGCTCTCTGCAATAAAGACGACAAAGTCACACAGTGCTACTTTTGAGTTTTCAGAGGCACTTGTTCCTGCTTCTGTGCTTGTCCC